CTAACAGTTTTCACGATCTAAATTTGTAGTTTTGTTCCATCAGGACTCTGATATAACACCACGTTTCCATCTGGTGTTCATCAAACCTCAATGTGGGAAAACACATTTAGAAGCCATGTTCTTCATTGATATGGCATACTAACTGTGCTTCTGTCTTTTAGGCATGTGGTTGTAAGGACGTCCCCTAACCACAAGTACACATTTACACTCAGGACCCATCCATCAGTGGTTCCAGGGAGCATTGCATTCAGCTTACCCCAGGTAACTCATATATTAATTTATTCTCTCTTAGTCTTAAAAGGTGTAGTAGGGTCCATTAAGTTTAAGCAAGCATTGCCTTGTATTGACTCATATTGAAGAAAAACACCTAGATGCTACAAAACAAATTTAAAGATACATTCTTTTTAAATATAACACTTTTATTTATTTTGTTTGGGGTAAAGGGTGCACATGCTACAGTGCACATGTGGACGCCAGCTTGTGGGAGTCGGTTCTCTCCTTGTACTGTGGGTGTTCTAGATACTGAACTCAGATTGTCAGGTTTGACAGCAGGCACCTTTTTCTGATAAGCCATCTTGCCAGCCCTAAAAAAAATTACTATATATATGTCTCTGGGAATAAAGGTGTGCACCACCATACCCTGCTAAAAATATATTCTTTCTTAAAAAAAAATTTGGTTATTTTTATTTTATGTGTATGAGTATAATGCCTGCATGTAGGTAGGTACACCCATGTCATGCACCCACAGAGATCAGAAGAGGGCGTCAGATCCCCTGAAACTGGAGTCACAGATGGTTGTGAGCTGTCATGTGAGTGCTGGGAATTGACCCTAGGTCCTCTGCAAGAGTAACTAATGCTGTTAACTACTGAGCCATCTCTCCAGCCCCCTAAAATTATATTCTTAATTGTCATTTATTTACTATGGTTGCCTTTTACTTCCTTGATTTTTTTCAATTTTAAAGTAATGTCAGTTAGCTATCAGATAATGTGTGGTGTTATTTTAATGCTAACTCCCAGTGTAACAGAAAATACATAAAATAATGTTTTATTTATAAAATTGACATCTAATAATAGAGGCTTTATAATGCTATGATGTCAGACTAAACCTGAAAAGAATAGTTGTTTTAGACCACCATCTGGCTTGCTGGGCTCCTCCTACAAGTGGGAAGGTGGCTTGTGGAACTGCTGGATTTTCACATTGCCTAGCTCTCACTCAGGCCCTAATCACAGTGTAGAAGCGTCACAAATGCCACCCTTTGCTGCTGACCCCACATTAATAAGCCATGTAAATTCAGTCTTTACCTCCTGGAGTGCCAGTGAGCACTGATTGGCTTGCTTGGAGGATTAGGGAAAGAGATGGCTCCTTTGGGAAATTGTGGGAGGTCCTCATTCACTCTTACCCCTTTCTCTTGATACCTCTCAGGCATACTTTCCACACTTGTTTCTACAGTTAACAGTTTGAATCAGGCATGGTACTGCATGCCTTTAGTCCCAGCACTCAGGAGGCAGAGGCAGGCAGAGCTCTGTGAGTTCAAGGCCAGCCTGGTCTACATAGTGAATTCTAGAACTACTGGGGTTGTAGGGAGACCCTGTCTCAAAAAGACCCCCAAAAAATCAACCCAAGTTTAGGCTATATGAGACCCTGTTTCAACAATAATTAAATTTAGTAGATGTTTGAGATCACAGAGCTTTCTAGCTTTGATGAAGCTTCTTTTGAGTCTCTGGTGGTCACAAGAAGTTTGAAGTGATTATTTCTCTTTGTTTGTTTCCTTTATTTAAAAAACAGAAAAGGGAGGACTGTGACTCAGTGATAGTGCTTTTGTGTGTAAAGCCCTAGGTTCAGTCTCCAGGATTACAACAACAACAACAAAATTAATATGTAAAGGTGGGTATTGTGGTACATACCTCCACAGAATCTACAGTGATCACATCATTCGGCAAGCTATGGATTTTTAGCTAAAAATTATTTTTCTCAGTGTTCTTTGGAGTATTGTCAGTACTGATTTTGACTCTGTATCAAGGCATCCCTTTATTCTTACTAAAGACAATCTATCCTGCCTCCTGCCTATACAGTCAGACTGGGGATAGGGTATAAGTGCCTGGAAATCCTCTGACTACATGCACGGGGTAATCCTAACTATTTAATAATTTGAGTCCCTGTTTAAGTTTCAGTGTAGATTATCTGACAAGTTTTAATTCCATGAATTAAATTTCTTTAGTAAAAACTAACTGCAACATAGAAACCTGTGTTTCTTAAAACACAGAAACCTCTGATACAGTGAAGATGTTCAGAAGTGTTACATTGTGCAAAGGAGCATCCAACATAGTGGGCCTGCTTTACTATAAAAATACATGCCAGGCAATAGCAGGAGACTCTTGAGTTCCTGACCAACCTGGGCTATAGTCATACTCTGTCTCAAACAGCAGCGACAACAAAAATACCAAACCTCAAAATCAAAAAAGGCAAGCTTCATGTGTTTTGCAACAGGTGTTCTATAAAGTATATTATATGCATTAGTTTCCCATGGCTCCAAATGATTGACAGAAAGAAAATAAAAATAAAAATACTTTAGCCGGGCGTGGTGGCACATGCATACCTGTAGTCCCAGCACTTGGGAGGCAGAGGCAGGCGGATCTCTGTGACTTCAAGGTTTACATAATGAATTCCAGGACAGCTGGGGCTACAGGGAGACCCTGCTTCAAAAAGACCAAAAACAATTTATGCTTCTTAAAATTAATTTATTTGGTATCATATTATTTTTTAATCTCATGCAAAAAGATCAAAAAAAAAGAAAAAAAAAAAGCCAGAAACAAAAAATATAGTCTCTCATAGTTCTGAAAGCTAGATGCCTCAAAGGTGGTGCAGAGACAAGTTCTCTCTGAAGGTTCTAGGAAGAACCTGTGCTTTGCTGTGCTTTTGGTGGTGTTGGAAGTCTGTTACCTTGTAGAAGAATCGTTTTAGTTTCTGCCTCTGTATCACCTGACATTCTCCTTATGTCTCCCAGTGTCTCTTTCTTATAAAGACACCAGTCATTTTGACTTAGGGCCAAGCTTAATTCAGCCTGCAGAGACATTGATTCTAAACACCATCACATTCACAGGTACTAGGGGCTAAAGACTTCCGTTTTGGGTATGTGGATATGGAGGGGAAGTTCAACATATAACAGTGTACCATGTCTTAATTTTATGTCTTTCTCAATTCATAAATGCTCATCTTTTCCTTATTTCTCTAATTTTTATTGATTTGATTTTAAGTGTCTTTTTTCTCTCATTTATTTTATAGAGAAAATGGGCTGGACTTTCTATTGGCCAAGAAATAGAAGGTAAGTATTTTTTAAGCCTCCAAGGCAGATTATCTATATGGTGTTTCTCACAGTTGTTGACATATGTATAATTACTGATTGTCAGCCCTTAAACCTTCATTCTGTTCAAAGTACCAGTAATAGCTATGCAAACAGGAAGGAAATACTTGTGGTGCCTCTGTCCTTACCTCTTCTCTCAATGAAGTGTGCCATAATTTATCATAGTTCTTCAGCCTTTTATCTGGATACTGGGGATGGAAAATAAGTCCTCATGCTTGTGTGGCAAGCACTTCACCAACTGAACCATCTCCCATCCCCAATAGTGTAATTTTTTAAAAATTATTTTATTGCCGGGCGTGGTGGCTCACGCCTTTAATCCCAGCACTCGGGAGGCAGAGGCAGGTGGATCTCTGTGAGTTGAGGCCAGCCTGGTCTACATAGTGAGTTCCAGGACAGCTGGGGCTACAAGGAGACCTGTCTCAAAAAGACCAAAAAAAAAAAGTATTTTATTTATTATTTTTATTTTATGTGTATGAGTGTATTGCCTGCATGTATGTGAGTGCACCCGTGTCATGCAATGCCGCGGAGGTCAGAAGAGGGCTTTGGATTCCCCTGGAACCGGAGTTAAGGACTGTTTATAGCCGCCATGTGAGTGCTGGGAATTGAACCTGGGTCCTCTACAAGAGCAGTCAGTGCTCTTAACTGCTGAGCCATCTCTCCAGCCCTGATAATGTAATTTTTTGTCTTTTAAATTTTTATTTTTTTATGTGTATTGCCTGCATGTAGGTAAGTACACCTATGTCATGCAATGCCCGCAGAGGTCAGAAGAAGCTGTTGAATCCCCTGGGACTGGAGTTACGGACAGTTGTTAGCTCCCATGTGGGTGCTGGGATTCGAACCCAGGTCTTCTGCAAGAACAACCAGTGTTTTTAACCACTGAGCCATCTCTCCAGCTCCAATTTTTTATCTTCTTTAAAAATCTTGTTTTCCTTTCTTTATTCAGAGACTCTTCAATTCATTTGTTACTCTCTTGAGTACTTTATAATTTATTTTTTTCTTCTGTAATTATTTTTCTTTTTTTTCTTTTTGGTTTGTTTCTTGAGTTCACTAAAGTCTTATGGTATTTCTTCTACTTATTTCTGCTCTTAGTTTTAATCTTCTGATTTTAGTTTTGTTAAATGTCTAAATACTTTTTTAAGGGACTGGGATGTAGCTCAGTGACACAGTGCTTGCCTAGCATGCACAAAGACCTACATTGGATCCCCAGCATCATAAAAAAAAACACAAGAAAAGTAAAAATCACTGTCTGGGAGATGGTTCAGTGAATAAAGCTCTTGCCATGCAAGCAAGAGGACTAGGTGTTCAGATCCTCATCAACCACATAAATATGGGATGAACAGCCTCTTGTAATCCCCGAGTTTGAGAGGCAGAGATAGAGAATCCCTGGAGCAAGGTGGGTAGGTAGACTAGCCAAATCAGTTTGCTCCAGGTTTAGCAAGAGGCCCTGCCTCAATTCTATAAGGTGAAGAACAGTGACAATACATGATATCAACCTGGCCTCCACATGCAAACACATGCCCCCCTCCATTTATGCCCCCACACATGTGAACACGTATCACACACACATACACAAATATCAAAAAACAAAAACAAAACACATTTGGGTCTGGAGAGATGGCTCAGTGGTTAAGAGCACTGATTGCTCTTGCAGAGGACCCAGGTTCAGTTCCCAGCTCCCACATGGTGACCAACAGCCATTGGTAACTCCAGTTCCAGAGGATCTGACACCCTCTCCAATCTCCATGGGCATTGCATGACACAGCTGCACTTACATACATTCAGGTAATACACTCATATACATAAAAAAAATAAAATAGCCAGGCATGGTAGTGCACATTTTTAGTCCCAGCACTTGGGAGGCAGAGGCAAGCAGACCTCTGTGAGTTCAAGGCCAGCCTGGTCTATATAGTGAGTTCCAGGCCAGCTGGGGCTATGGGGAGACCCTTTCTCTAAAAGACCAAAAAATAAATAAAATAAACCCAAGAAGCAAAACACATTTGCCTAAGGATAGCTAATGTCCTTAGCTATATTTAGCTTTCTATTGCTGTAATAAAACACTCTGACCAAAACCAACCTGAAGAAGAAAGGGTTTATTTGGCTTACATAGTCCAATCATAGTTCATCTTTGAGGGAAGCCAGGACAGGGAACTTGGGCAGGAATCTGGAGGTAGGAACTGAGGCACAGACAATGGAGGAACACTGCTTACTGGCTTGCTCCCTTGGCCTGTGCTCAGCCTGCTTTCTTATACAACCCAGGACCACCTGCTCAGGGGTGGCACAGTAGACTGAATGCTCCCACATCACTCAACAATCAGATGCCTCATAGACAGGGCCACAGGCCAGTTGATGAGGAAATTCCCCAATTGAGGTTTCCACTTCCCAGATGTGTCAAGTTGACAGCTAAAGCTATGTAGCACAGCCAATTGTTTAAATTGTTCTCTCTCTCTCTCTCTCTCTCTCTCTCTCTCTCTCTCTCTCTCCTTTCTTTCCTTCCTTCCCCTCCTTCCCTCCCTTCCTTCCTTTCTTCATGGATGTTTGGGGTAAGACACTTCACCAGTTGAAATGTTTCAATATTTTGTTATATGTTGCTTCTCATGGTTTTGTAGGTAGGATTTCTTTTGGTTACTATAGAGATCACAATCTTTATAATGGATAATACTGATGAGTTGGGAGAGGAGTGATTTGACACAGCCATTTCTCTGTATCTTTGTGTCATCCTTAGTTTTCTAACTCTTTTCCTCACTACTGCATTTCTCAAGGCACCATCTGATTCTCAGATGAATGATGTTGAGCTGAGCGTGGTGCACACGTCTTCAACCCCAGCACTCAGGAGGCAGAGGCAGGTGGATCTCTGGGAGATCAAGGCCAGCCTGGTCTACATAGTGAGTTCCAGGCCAGCTGGGGCTCCAGGGAGATCCTGTCTCAAATAAAAGATTGCTGTTGCTACCTCTAGTCCTGTGGGTCTCTTTTCCCTCGTGGGTTCTTGGCCACCGATTCACAAGAACAAAGGGAGCAGAAGTGACGAACAGGGTCAGGATGGCCGTGAGCACACGGAGAGAACTTCTGGGAGTCAGTCAGCTTCAGTGAGACAGCTCGTTTTTTAGGGGAGTTGGAGGGAATATATAGGGTGAGGACAGCAGCCAAAGCTTTACCTGATAGGTGTTCATAGTATGCTTTATTTACATGTGGCAGGAGGACCCTATAATGTAGAAAGGGGATGGGGGATTGATTGGTTGTAGTGCAGTGCCTAATTATCATACGGGAAAACCAGGGGCAGCATTTGTAGGGAACTATGTCAAAGGTCATGTTCCAAATAAGGTCAGGCTTCTGTGATTAGAGACACTTTCCAAATAAGGTCAGGCAGAGAGTAGGAAGCCCCTGCTGAGAAAGGGAATCCTCCATTTTGAGCCAAGTTCAGAGAGCTGTCCAGACATGGTAGACTACGACCTTAATGGCAGGGTCCCCCAACATAGTCCTACTTATTTTCAAGTCATTTCCCTTTATCTAGAGCTATTGATAGTCAAGTCTCAAATCTTTGCTTAGTAGTTGGTCATTTAATGATGGATTCATCTTTTTGGAAATTTTTTTTGTCTAGATTTTATCTATATCCAGCTCTCCTTCTGCCCTTCTCTTTGTCCCTTCCCCACTCATTTCCCTTTCTCTTTTTCCCATGATGAACACTCTCTCTGCTCATATCTTTTCAAATTCTTCCACTTTTAGTGTTCTAGGAGTGCTGAAGATGTGGACAACATGTAGTGCTGTTCTCCTTGTCACTGTCCTGGAGGTGCAGGGAACAGTCACATTCACTGGGCCACCATTATTCTCTCAGTGCTTTTGAAGATATTCACAGATGTAGTTGCTTACATGTGGTTAAAAGAAGATAGATGTTTGCGGGAAGTTGGTAGAATATTGTACATCTCTTTTGAGAAAGGGTCTACCTGTAGCCCCCCCGGCCTGAAACTCACAGTGTAGACCAAGCTGGCCTCAATTTTACAGAGATCCGCCTGTGTCTGTAAGTCCCAAGTGCTGGGACCAAAGGTGTGTGCCACCATACCTGGTGTCAGAACATCTCTTGTAGAAAGGTGACAACAGAGCTAGGAATGAATGTCAGTGGTGTTGTGGTGTTTGTTTGGAAACATGGAGACTTACTCTTTTTCTGAGTTGGAGGGATTGAGGTTATCTTTAGTTGGCTCTTTTTTCTTTTTTTCATTGTGAAGAAAGTAAGAAGTAAGAATGAAACCAAATTGGAGGTAAAAATAAAGGAGATTAGACATGGGCAGTTGTAGAAGAGCATTGCATAATTAGTGCTGCTTTCCAAACTTGCCTAAAAGAATTACCTGACAGGTTTATTTAAAAAAAAAAAACAAAAAAAGAAACTATTCCCAGGCTCTTCCCTCGGGGAACCTGATTCATGTGTCTGTGTTTTTCACAGTCACCTTTAAGTGGTTCTTACCAACCACATTTGGGAAACACTGACGTAAGTGATTCCCTTAGCTATCACCTAGTCTTCACCTGCAGCACAGTGAGAAGCTGAGGAAACAGGCGGCAGCGCTGGGCGAAGCAGTCAGCACGAAGCTGGCACTCCCTGTTTTGCAGAGATGAGAGTGAATACTTGGTAAAATAATTAATGAGGAGATGGGACTGTTGGAGGACAGGTTTCTAATTTCCTTAAATTTATTTGTCTAAGTAGAAGGGCAAGAGTGTGTTTAAATTTAATTCTTTTAAAAATATTATATTTTTAGGTGTATGAGTGTTTTGTCTGTATGTGCACTGGTGTATGCAATTGTCCAGAAGAGGGTGTCAGATCCCCTGGAACTAGAGTTACAGACGATTGTTAGCTGCCATGTGGGTGCTGGAGCCAAATGGTGGTCCTCTGGAAGAGCAGCTGGTATGTTAACCACTGAGCCAGTCCCTAAATTAACTTCTAAAACATTTATATATTATTTTTATTTTATGTGTAT